GATAGTTTTAGTATGTGGTAACTGGTAACCCTGATATATATTCTTGTAAATAGATACGGTTTTAACATTTTAATAGAGCAAACTCCACGAGTAATGACGTCTTCTATGTTAAACTAGCAATATACTTGTGTATTTCTTTTGATAAAAATTGTTTAGAAACAATTCAATATTTTGCCGTGCACGACAAATTTTTAATGCGCACTTCTACTGTATATATTCATTTGAAAATATGTATCTAAAAGGTCATTTTTGTCGGACTTCCAGAACTGAGAAAAGAATATTGTAAATAAGTTATTTATATAAAAACGGTTCCTAATGCAGAAATACATAGTTTGTAAATAAAATTTACACAAAACACGGAAGGGGGAAGAAGTCTAACTATGGTCGTTAGGAGGGAAGTCTGAACTATTTGAGCAGGATTTCCGGTGTTAATTCTCACTAAGAGAAACATCGGACAGTAGCAAATTTTAAAGTGATATATGGCGTATTTTTATAAGTTCAGACTAATTAAAATTAAAAAAGATATTTTTATTTGTTTTCTTGCTTTATATAAAGATAAGACTTTCGTATTAATTACACAATTTAAATCAATCGCGTTTCATAGATATCACAGATTGAAAACAATAACCGATTTATTTCCGACTTGGAATTAAATACCATGCACAGTTTAAAGTATTTTAACTTTAGAAACGTGGTGATATTTAAGTTCAAATTCAGTGAAAATTTAAATTTGATCGTGAATAACAAATATCATGTAAATCTACGCTTAATCACATATTTTTATTTTTAGCTCAGGTACGCCATATTTAGCTTTTTCAATTTTCTGCCTTAATACTTTATCAGTCGAACTCAGTTTTATAATTAGGTATGTTATAGGGGTTTTTGTATTCACTACAAAAAAAATGCCAACATTTGTACTTATACCTTTATGGAAAGGGCTACGTCTATGTCCATTTTATAAAAAAAAAAAGTACAGGGAAGATTTTCATATGTCTAGGTCTGTACATGAGCATTTACGTATTATTCGGAATAAAGATTTGTCAGTTAGGTGGAGTAGTAGTAGGGATTCTAAAAAGACTCAATTCGTTAGAGTATAATTTTGAAAATATTTAATATAAAAACTAAATATTAAATATTGAAATTAAGTATCTAAACTGAAATTTTATCATCAAACAAATAAATAGTTAATATATAAATAAAAAATGACTGTAATTCACTTTACATTAAATACTTCTACATCTTGGTTGCATGTGTTTATAAGGACAAAATAAAGAATGAAAAAAGTTCTAAGTAGAAAAGTGCAATATTAGAAGAACAAAATAGAAAACAATAATTTGACATTACAGTAATGCCAAAGAATAAGAAGACAGAATAAGTATAAATGCAAGATGTATAGACTGTTGGCGGTAAATCCCTTATAAACCATCGGACGATACCTCAAAAAGATCCCTCACTGCTCAATGGCCCTTTGTGCCGAATAGAGATCTTAATTTGAAGTCCATTACCGGTATATGGTGCCTGATGTCTTTCGATCACTACTCAATAAATGTAAGATAACAATAGTAGCAATAGTAAGGAGGTACAACTCTGTACCTCCCATTTTTTTTTTTGGGGGGGGGGGGCTTCTTTCTTTGTTTGCAACTCTGTCGAAAATACGAATTATTCAACTCCAATTTTTCACCAGACAATAAGGCTTTATGTATCATAATGAAATATGAAGGATAATAAACAGCTTTTATGAATCATTACAAAATGTGAGGAGAGCAAACGCAAGCCTTTAAAAAATTCAGAGGATGGATATTATTTAATAAATAATAATCAAGCTTTTCAATTATAGAGAGAGAGAGACGTATGCACCATTTCCTGTTATTAGATAAGAACAAAATTGAATTAAATTTCTAAATTTTTTAATACGTCCAGTGCAATTTTATTTCACGTGTTATTCTTTTCCATTTTGTTTGGAGGTTTGATTTTTTTCGTCGTCACTCTTTGAGTCGAGATTTTTTATTAAGTCTATGTCGACATACTGCGTCCTGTTTTCCGCTCCCTGAATGATGGATTTCCCGGTTGACGGCATGTCGTTAAAATCGATTTCTACGTAAACCATGCCATCTTTGTTAACGGTCTGAAACAAAAAAAATTACCTCTGAGCCAAAAAGAGTCGATCTATTTAAAAATCAAAAACGCAAAACATTGGAGACCTAATGCAATGTATATGGAGCTTTTTGGTCAAGAGCAATTAAAAATAGATTAACTTGAATTACATATGTACTAAAATTCATCATACAATTAACTACTTTACAAAATATCACACCCCTACTGTAATATAAACAATGTCATATAATTCAGTTTCAAACCTAATTGCAGACATTCAAATGAACTTCAACTTCAAACAAGATGTGTTAGTGAAACAATATGCGCCCAGCAGCAACAAAGCTCCAAAAAACTATTTTAAGCTTATACATGTAGGTCCCAGTCAAGATCACAAGATCATTGATCTAAATGTTGTTTAAAAGAAGTTTATTAGTGGAGTATGCATACCAAATATGAAGTCTCCATCTCCTATGGTTCAAAAGTTGTGGTGAAAGTTCGAAAAAGCTATTTTAGCATATATTTTGCAGTCAAGATCATAAGGTCATTGACCTTGGAGTCATTTGCATGAGTTTAATTAGTGAAGTATGCAAACCAAATATGACGCCTCTATCTTCTATGGTTCGAACGTTATGGCAAAAGTTCGAAAAAGCTATTTTTAGCATGTAGGTCACAGTCAAGGTCACAAGGTCATTGACCTTGTTTTTTGAAAGAAATTTATTAGAGTTGTATGCATACCAAATTTTCAAGATTCTATCTCTCAAGGTTCAAAAGTTATGGCGAAGGTTAAAGTTGACAACAGTCAGACAGACAAACAGATAAACAGACAAAAAGACAGGACAAAAACAATATACGCCTCGGATCTATCGATCCAGGCGAATAAAAATGGTCGACAGGGATAGATAAACTGTAGATGACACTACTCAGTCAATTTTTTTTTGTCAGTAAAGGGCGTCATTAAATTAACTACTGCCGGAACCCATTGCAAAATGTGTATGGTGTTAACCCGCTCCCTCTTAAGAAAGTCATGAAATTATGTAGAAAAATGGAGAAAATATTAATTTCAAATCTGTATCCATGCACCTTTAAAATGTGTATCACAATGAAAGTAAAGTACGCTAGCACTTTTATATATGTTTTTTTTCCCCGAAATCGTTTTTGAACATGTTGTGTATATATATATATATATATATATATATATATATATATATATATATATATATATATATATATATATATATATAAAAAGCACTAAAAAACCAACAACACTGTATATCCTAAATGTCGGATCTACCAAGTAGATACAAGGTCACGGATGGAAATTTATATAAAGCACTAAAATGACCAACGACACGAACAATAAAAATTGTCAAATTTTCGGGACGCCCTGTCCCTTCCTCAGGACAAAGAAAAAAGTTAAAAAGTCATAAAAACAAAGGAAAAAGAGAAACACAAAGAACTAGCACTACTACTAAACTACTAAACACTAGATATTTACATAATTACATGTTGAATTGGAAATATTAAGAACACTGATAAAGAAAGAAATCCGGACCGCTGTGAAATGCGTCCGGTCTATCGGGTATACTCGGGTGAAGTGCGATTTACATAATTGAACGAATTAATTATGCTAATTAATTACAATAATCAGTAAATCGTACATTGTTTCATTATCTCAAAATGGCGTAACTTTACTTAATAAAGAATAATCAAAGAAAAAAAATATAGCAGAGATATTTAAACATATGAATTATGATCCATTATAAATTTTGAAATATTTAAGGATTTATTACCGGGAAAAAAAATTAACAAAAGCGTAAACAATAAATAGTTTTGTGATAATTGAACGCATTAATTATGCTAATCAATTACGATAATCAGTAAATCGCACAGTGTTTCATTCTCTCAAAATGGCATAACTTTACTTAATAAAGAATAATCAAAGAAAAATAATATAGCAGGGATATTTAAACATATGAATTATGATCCATTATAAATTTAAGGATTTATTACCGGGAAAAAAATTTTTTTAACAAAAGCTTAAACAATAGATATTTTTGTGGGTTGTCCGAGAGTTTGTGACGCAAATTAACAGTAGAGTTAACACTAAATTGAGAGAATAATCTTGTATGGTATCATCAGGAATTGGGTCTAGTTTACGTTCATTCTGGTGAAGTCATTCAGTTTGTTAATGCCATTAGGGCGGAATGACTTCAATCTGTGCATCCAGAACTTCTCTTTGCTTTTTCTCTGAGCATCTGTCCATCCTGGGTTATGGTCAATCACCACTACTGTCATGTCCTCCCATTTGTGACCCTCAAGGTTGAAATGTTCCCCAACGGGTTCATTGAGTTTTTTGGTCCTAATGGTCGAGCGGTGGTTATTAACTCTCCTGCGGAGATCTCCTGTTTCACCAATATACTGTTTGGAGCAAACTTTGCAACTGATGAGATAAATGCAGTTGTCAGTCTGACAGGACAAATTCCCTAGTATTTTGTAGCTGCGGCCTGTAACAGGGCTGCTAAAACTGTCTGTGTCAGTGCTGTGCTTACAAAGAAGACATCTTCTGTCAGAGCAAGTTTTAAAGCCTCCGTTAGGTAATGGGTTGTCCAGTCTGGTTCTTACTACCATGTCCTTAAGGTTTCTTGGGCGTCTGTATGCAGCCAGTGGGGGTTCCGTAAAGACCTCTGCCATTCGTTTGTTTGAATGGAGAATTGGAAGGTTCTTTTGAAGGATACCGCTAAGGTTCTTAAGGACGGGATGGTATGTGGTTACCAGAGGGACCCTGCCGCTATTGTCTTTCTCCTTGTAGCGTAATAGGTTTTGCCTGTCAAGTCCCGCCATCTCATCAATAGCTGTTTGTACGGAGCGGGCATTGCAATGCCCGCTCCGTACAAACAGCTATTGATGATTGCGCACGCCCCCCCTAAAATTTTCAAAGTATGATGTGACTAATATTTATAATGCCACATTTTGGTACAAAACCAACCAAACCACTGTTATTCTGCCTGGTTTTACTCTTAAAATACACAAAAATCCAGGAGCTTCCGGGGGCTGATATAACTAGTATTAAACACGGCGTACTTTGGTACATCACGAACCAATACCACTATTAGTAAGTACTAAGTAGGTAAATCGTTTATTATGATGGCATGTTTTACAATACAATGAGAACTGAGAAACATTCAATACAATATTATCATTCAAACATCCGAACCTATATGCCACTTCTAACAAAAAAAATTGAAAAATATGCACTATTATAGTGCCTGGTTTTACTCTAAAATACACGAAAACCCAGGAGCTTCCGGGGGCTTCGCCCCCTCGGCCCCCACCAGGGCTTCGCCCTGGACCCACTGGGGGCCTTAAGGCGGCCCCCAGACCCCTTGCCTCAACAAAGTTATCCACGCCCCCCCTAACCAAAAATCCTGTATCCGCCCCTGGAGTGGTCTAGGTAACAGGGGTATTATTTACCTGGAGACCCCCAATACTTAAGATATCAAAAATCTATGTATACAGTGTACGTAGCATTACACAGGAAGTCTGTGTTTGGTAATCAGGGTCAACTGTACGTGTTTCGTGTCTAATTTTAAGTGAAACTCCTTAAAATAATTAAACTATTTCCATATAAAATTTATTTGTAAACTAAATGCATTCATCGTAATCTTTTGAAGGATAAAATTATATTAAAAAAAATATCCTTTTATTTATATTTTTTTTGTAAAAAGAAAGATCACGTGTAAAAACTAGAAAGCAACCAATTCTCCATATTTTTTAAATCTTCAGTAAAATAAGTCACCATGATTAAAAAAAAGTGTATATATGTTGAAATTAAAAAAAATTCCAATTATTCGTCGCGTGAACATTTACCGCGATCGGAAGTGAAACATTAACATTAACAATAGAGTCCGTGCCCTGTTTACAAAAAAAAGTTATCGTTTCACTGATGTATTCAATTTCTTAAACTCTGTACACAATACTGAGGCGAGTAAAATTGACATCCTTAGTTAGAGATAAAAACAAAGTCACTATTCCCATTAATACATCAACGTTTTCGAACATCAAATACACTTACGTATTTTGTTGCCCTTTTGCTTTGATTTTAGACAAAGAATTCCCAAAGTGAGAACAATGGTAATCAAAAGCAGACCTGCTCCTCCACCAATACCGATAACTATTATTGTAACACTTGGAAATTTATCGCCAGTTTCGCCATTTGTTATGAAGGAGGTCCTATCCTCCGGTTCTGAAAATCAAAATAAAATAGTAAATGCTCAAAAATATGTCTCTGAAGAAAAAAAACAATCAAGGCTATTTTTAAAGTCGTGTTTGTTTTTACTTTAAAATAATGTTTATTCGTCTCTCCTGACTCGGGGTAAAATTACTGGGTCGGTAGGTAGGTGGAAGAATCTTTTTTTACGGAAAATTCCAGCCTATTTGTTAACAGGATGAGGAATAAAACATGTTCTGAAATGTAAAAACAATTATTTAGTTTTTATTTTGGGCAACCATTTTTTTTTTAGAATCTCAGAATGGTCTAATTAAAAGTAGAAATTTTTATCCCGAAAAAGCATTTTTAGATACCAATGTTTATTAACATGATATGAAATTAGAAGTGATTTATGGAGCTTTGCAAAGAACCTTGAAGCACATTGAGAGGCATATTATGAAAATTGTTGCATGAAATATTTAATTTTCAAGCTTCATTTAAAGACTTTTTGAATTAAATTATAAATTAAAGAGTTGTCCTTCCTGGCTGAGGGTCGGAGTCCCTTAATTGTTTGAAATCTGCTTCTTTGTATTAATCAAAAATTTTTGATAAGCACGTGTGCCTTTTTAAAATTGTGCAATGTTTGGACCTAGGGTCAGGGGTTCATGTGTGATAGGGCACCACTGAGTATTGCTGAATACTAGTATTACTAATTAGTTGAAACACATTTTTGTTCCCTACCCTGCCTATGGGTATAAAGTAACCAAACTGAGCAATTGCTAAGTGTATGGTTATGATGAGCAATGGTGACTTTTTTCAAAATTGTGAATGCCATGGCTTCTAGTTGAAAACATGAACCAAATTCAATCATTGGAAAGTTGCTGCATGGTACTCAGGTGACCTATTAGGCACATGAGTCTCTTGTTTAATTTATATCATAGTTCTCTGGATTTCTCTTGATTTGTGAAATATTTCATATTTATTTTTACATTTCTTTCGGACATTTAATGTTCTTAATGTTCTTAGAGTCTATTATTTATATGACTTTCTTACCTGCACTTCGAATTACGACTGAAATCTCTTCACTACGGTTGAAGTTCCTACTATTGTCTTTCACTTCACACTTGAAAGTTTCATTCCTTTTTACAGTCTTATTCAAAAACAATACAGCTCCTTTTGTGAATTTATTCACATAACTTCCGTCTTTATAAATGTACCATAAATATGTGCACTGCATATATTTTAGGCAGTTAGATTCACAAATAATATCTTCTTTGGGCTTTTTCCCAATCTCAGAGTAAAATATTGTTCGGTTTGGTGGCTTTATATTTACTTCTATTTCTGTAAAAGAATTTGCAAGAAAGATATATATACATGTATATAGGCATTCAAAAACAATGTCATGATTTGAACATAATTTGGTATTCTAGCTCTTCTTTATCCTTCAATTTTCATATAAAATGCATTGCGTATCGAAAAATAAGTACAAGACAATTTCTAGTACTTCAAAAATCATTGAATCATATAAAGACGCATAAAATGAAAATTGTTGCTTAAAAGTTCTCAATTTCAAGATTCATGTTTTTAAAGAAATATTTTTAGATTTTTTCTACCTGGCTGAGGACTGGATATCCTTAAGGACACTGCTTTGTTCCTGATATACTGCAGGAATTAACAGATTCGCTGAATTCAAGTGACTAGACCCTTAGACACACCTTTAAAGGGGGGGGGGCTAGCTTAGGATAAAGATGGGACTTGGTGGGTTTCGTGTGGGGACTAAACTTGATTTCGCCCTCAAACTGGGTGGTTGTAATATCAAGGAATATGAATTTGAATGTCCTGTTAAAAAGCTATTTCCAAATAGTATGTTGGGTAAACGGGAAATCTCCGCAGGAGAATCAATAATCACCGTTCGAAAAACTCGATGAACCATTGGAGAACATTTCAACTTTGAAGTTTCAAATTAGGAGGACATAACAGTTGTGGTTATTGACCATAATCCAAGATAGACGGACTCTCAGAGAAAAGGCTGGGAAAAGACTAAAGTCATCCTGCTCTAAAGGTATTAACACACTGAAGTATTTCAGCAGGATGAGCGTGAACTAGTCCGATTCCTGATTGTAACAAACAAGATATACGAGTAAACGTCTCTTCATATGGTGTAAACTTTACAATTTAATTCAAATTATCATTTCTGGAACAACCCTTACACATATTTATTGCTTACATTTTTGTTTATAGTTTCTTTTATCTGATAAACAGTCATAAAACATTTCTGTATCCAAATTCATATTTTTCTGTTTTCTTTTCCGTTTCTTTGCTTTCTTTTTATCATGTATATTGTTACGCCATTTTCAGAGAATAAAAGAGTGGATAATTACTACTTGTTCAGAAACTTTACAATGTTTCAATCTTTGAATCCCCATTTATCATCTGATATACTGTGAAATCACAAATTTTCGTGGAGGGTTAAATTTCGTTGTTTTCAAGGTATGAATAGACCCACGAATTCATGTCCACCATAAAATGTAAAATGTTACATTCAAAACTTCTAAGCAATTCTTTTACAGTAATCGCTTACAATCTAAAAGGAAGCTGAAATCGATTGATTGATTAGAAAGTGCCTTTCAAGATAAGCCACCGTCAGGACATTTGAAAGACTTATGTCTTTACCAGAATCTACCACTAACTAATCTAACTATCACCAATTAGCGGAAAATCAAACAAGTCAGATTCAGATTCTAAATAACTTTTGAGTCCTTCTTTCATAAAATAGAAACCACAAGGGAAAATACCAGAATGTTTGGCATCAATTGGATGTTTCTATCTGCAAATACATCGTGTAACTTTCATTACACAATGCAATAATTTTTTTTTTTTTTTGTATTTTACGAAAATGAGTTTTGTAAAGTATGATAATTTTTACTCACTTCGTTGATAAGTAAACCGCACAAAAATCAAAGAGAGCACAAGACAAATGTTTACCAGTCTCTCCATCTTTGCACACTTGCTTTGTCGTAAAATGTTTGCCCAACAAGGAAGAAATGTTCATCTTTAAGAAGACATACATGGTACTTGAAATCATGTGTACAATGAAGATAGTTCCCTTTAAAACTAGATCTTCCAATGTTAGATCAAAAGTGGTGCAATGGCAGATTTTACTGATGACGTATTAAGGCCTATCTTTTTCCCCCACTCTTTTCCATATTCTTATTTACCAAAATTTTTTTCCCTAAGTCTTATTATTAGGTAAGCATCTGACATTTTAAAACTTGAAATTTAAGTTTTTAAAAAAAAAAAAAAAAAGATGTTCCATTGGAAACGAATGCCCCTAAACTTGAAATTTAAATCATTTAAAAATCCAAGAATATGATAATTACAGTAAGTGGAAATTAAACAACGAAATACCTTTGACTTGATGTCACTCGAATTTGACATTTGGCCCATCCAATCTCTCACCAGAGGGCGTTTTACACTCCGCTCCAACACCTCTGTTATCGTCTAAATTACAAAAATCTTGTAAATCGAAAAATAAATTATAGATACACACTAACTTGGTAATTTTTTAAAATGAAACTAGAAATATCAATCTTTAGCACTTCTTTTGTTCTTTTAGAATTTGGAATTAAAATAGCTTCAATATATACGGCACTATTTTGTTTTGAATTTTTACACACAATTTCATTTTGAAATCAAGGAGACAAAGTTAGAAAATATTTACTACCAGAGAGCTTAAAGCACATAACATCATTGGCAAAACATACAAAACAATCAATGTTTATACAATTTTTGTTGACATTTAATTATTTGACAATCCGCACTACTTTTTAGACGACAACAGAGGTGTAAGCGGAGCGCGCCCTCTGGTGAGAGATTGTTGGCCCATCTAACTTGAACTTCCTTAATAGATTCGTGTGGCAAACTTCATACCATTGATTCAATTAACGAAGAATGTGTAAATCTTATCATTGCATTGCAGCTTGAATGTTTTACGCGACCGATGCAAGATGCATTATGAACAAATTCGGTTAGCAACAGGTCTATCCATAATTCGTAATTTTTAAGATTTTGATTCGTACGACATAACGGAGATGTAATCTTAAGATGTTCCTGCTAAAGACAAAGATATAACTTGATGTATGTATCCAAAAATCCCATTCTATTTAAAGCAGAGAAAATTTAGGCCCTGCGTACAAGTATGATTCATCTAGATGCTACTAACTTATTTGATTCTTACAGTCGTCATATATTATTAGGTCATGAAATGTATTGAGATAACGAAAAGTATTCAAACTCAAAGTCCATTAAACAATTATACAATTTAGGAGCAGAGCAAACATAGACTTCCAAAACATCAGAGGTGTCATCAGGTACAGTGATGTGCCATAAGTGTTCGTCCAAATTCAATTTTCATTACGTCACTTTACATTTTCACATAACTTCGTCGACGCTGTATCTTTTAACCATGGCGTCAATGTTGAATAAATAAGTATATATTTATAGCATATCCACGTGACTGTCACGTGTCACAATTACGTAGCAAAATTATTTTCGTCTGCTGTGTATTTCCCCTGTAAACAAAATGGCTACCGTGCGTAAAGAATTGAGTACTGATGTTAAAGAAGTCATCGTTTCTCTTTACCTGTCTGGATTAAAACATTCAGAAATAGCAAGGAGATTACAAATTCCCCGGTCTACAATAACTTCTGTAGTTGACCGGTATCGCAAGCGAGGAAGTGTAGAAAACATACCGAGGAAAGGGAAGCAGGCAAAGCTAAGTGACAGAGACAGTCGCAGCATTTTAAGGTTGGTGAAAGAAAACAGAAAGAGAAAATTATCAGACATAACAGCCTTATTCAATGAAAATAGAGACTCTGCTATATCTAAACGGACAGTTCAGCGAAATTTGTACAAACAGGGGTATTTTAGAAGAGTTGTTCGAAAGCGCATAAGAATTCGCGAAGTGAACAGAAAAGCACGGCTCTCCTGGTGTAGAGGAAACAGATACAAAACTATAGATAATTATTGGAACAGGGTCATCTTTAGTGATGAGTGCAAAGTGGACGTTGGGACTGATAACCGTGTTTTTATATGGAGAAAGGTGGGCGAAGAGTGGATGCCATGTTGTCTCTCGCAACCTCCAACACCGAAGTTTAGTTTAATGATATGGGGCTGCATCACTTTCAACGGTGTAGGGACTGTGACTGTTGTAGATGGTAACATTAATGCTAGAAAATACATTGATATAATTGAAGATCAACTTTGGCCAGTCATAGCACGCCATTTTCCTCGAAATAACTATATATTTCAAGATGACAACGCCCCTATTCACAGAGCCCGAGTAGTTCAAGAATATAAATTACAGAATAATATTCATTCAATGGTTTGGCCCGCTCAGAGTCCTGATTTGAACATTATTGAAAATATCTGGTTGAGACTGAAAAGAGAACTGAAAAACGGCAACGAAATATTCTTGTGTAAAAATCAGCTGGAGGCAGCCATTCGACGTATCTGGATAAACATCCCAATTTATTATGTTCAGGGCTTATACAGGTCGATCCCAAGACGAATACAGAAAGTTCTGAGGTCAAAAGGCTATATAACAAAGTATTAAGGTAAGAAAAAATATTTTATAATTTTATTTCTGTGTTTTATTTTTCCGAAGCGTCTCGTTACTACGGCGGCCATTTTGAATTTGGACGAACACTTATGGCACATGTACCATGTAGGTGTGAGCGTATCCTGCCAACAGGTCACACCGTGTTCTCCTTGTCATGTTCGGAAAATAAAGGAAAAATCTGTCAGCAATTCAGTGTGTATATATTGGCCTAACGATTAGTATGAAAAACGTCAGACAGCATTGACTTAATACTGTAGGAAATTGTATTTACTGAAAAGGTCATTGTATCGACCATAAAACTAACGATGACTTTGAAGACTGCTTATATTCTTGTTTCAGCAACTTGTTTGTCAAAAATTTACCTCTTTTAGAAGTTGTTCATGCTTAGAACTTGCTCTTTTATATTGCAGCAACTGAGATATATAGACCCCGTATGCAGGTGAAGAAGGTTTATTGCTGCATATTAAGTAACATCTTAGCTAGAGGTTTTCGGTTGGTGCCGACCGCAAACCCTTGGCTAGCGAAGATGCAGCATGTTAAGTAAGATATACAGGTAAACTTCGTTATCTCGACATCGACGGGACAGTCGGAAAATGTCGAGATATCCGGGGTGTCGAGATATCAGAGTTGAGACTCGACATCCTTAATTTTACTGCATAGTAAAACCAAAGACCTAAACTGAACAGACGTGTAACTACAGGTACCTACGTGTCTTCAATTAGACTGTAGCTCGTTTGTTTCAGCTATCCCTCTACATTTATTAGAAAATCTAAGAAGTTATTCACAAATGTTATTAATGAAATGCTTTCTTTTTTATTGAAATCTTCTCATTTCACTAAAAGCCGTTTTCCATCCAGTATTCGATCCGCGTGCCATTAGCTCTGTCAGAACAGGATACGAAATGCACTTTATAAATTCAAAACCGGAACGGTACAAAGTCGACTTCCGAGATACGGAAAAAAAGTTAATGCGTATATTTTCTTAAAATTATTTCATTTTACTTCTTTTTTTATTTCATAATCATTCCTCGTTAATTTTCATTTCATTTTCAAACCAAAATTTAAATGGAATTGGGCATTTAACAAACTTAATGATGTTACATATGCATCCATATTACGGCTGATGCAATGGTCGTGCATGTCGCAAGTTTGACTGATTCATGTTGAATGCATTTTTACCACAATTTTTAAGTTAAATTGAATTCAATGTGTATATTGTTCACTGTTATTCAGTTACCTTTTTTTTTTTTTTTTTTTTTTTTTTTACAAAATGTTTAAGTTCTGTTAGATTTCGACACAAATAAACGGTTGTACATTTACGCAGAATTGAGAAGATTTACCATGATAATTACCCAAGCTGAACATTAAACAATTAACGTATTAAAGACGCCGAGGGGGCTTGGGATTCCTCTACAAACACATTTTTAGGGCAGTAGGGAGTCAAAACATGGGTGTGAAAGGTGTGAATTTCTGACGACGTCGAGTTACACGGAGTCGTCCGTGCGTGACGAGCGACCAGCTGACAAACAATTAGGTTAAGTAGAGCAGAAAATTGCACCGATGTCGACATACAACAGGTAAATTTTGCTCTTGGGACTGTGAAATACGTCGAGATTAGCGGGGTAGTCGACATTACCGAGGTCGACATATCAGAGTTTTTGCAAATCATTTATATAGTAAATGCCGGGACCGCAGACGGACGTCGACATATCCCAGGTTGTCGACATATCCGATGTCGAGATACCGAAGTTTACCTGTATAAGTTGACGATTGAAAAGTTAAAGTCATTTCTTTTGTCATTTTGGTTAGATTACCTTTAATGTCTTTTTCAAGTAAAATATCTGAATATGAAACAGTTGTGTCGGACACTACATGGTATAATTTATTTCAAGCTCACCGGGATATCCTGTACCAAAATAAGAATGAAAATGACCATTGTAAACTTACAATACGTCGTCGATTTATCTAAATGTCGAGATGAAGGCCACAGCAAGTGTTTACTTCTTTTTATGTTTAAAATTTTTGACAAATTCTGCTTCATATGAATAAAAAAAAGTCTCCTAATAACGGGGTTATTACAAATGGTGCACGTGGGAATTTCAATAGATTGTTTGAAAACGTAGTCATCAAAAACCACATGGATATTGCCAATCAGAAACTCAACTCAAGCATATTTTTAATGTCAACTTCAGAGTCCTTTTGAGTACAATCAGAATCTGTTGAACAATATAATTTTGCAAATGACCCATAGCAAGGTGAGTAAATTACGAGTTTCATTTTTATTGAAAAAGCAGCTGTCACTGCTATTGAAAAACGACTGGACTTTAATATGGGGAATAGTTGTATATCAGCTTTAAAAATTGTAATGCTGTAGATTTTAATTTGGTAAATTTTGTAATGTCCAATTTCCCAAAAGTCCCTATGAATTTTTGTATCCACATCTGATTTACACCACTAGTGTAGTGAAGTGAGTCACTCACTCAGTAGAGATTATCATCCTTTCCGTTGACCCTGGGATGCCAATCTTAAATAATAAAATTTAATTCATTTATAAATGACATCTTTTTTACAAAACATTTGAAGTACTTAATAATAATAGGTATACTTATTACTTAATAATGAAATATTTGATAAATAATTATTAAACTTGTTTTTTACATCTATTTAACTTTCAGTTCTAAAAATTATATTTACTTTTAATAAATTACAAAAAAGTTACATCATAATGTGGTAAAAAGTTATAAAATAATCACCTTCTAAATCGTTGTTAGTCCAGACGGGCTGCTGGTATACTGTCCAGGATGATGGAAGGAAGATGGAAGATGCATTCACTGGCGGTCGATGTAGTTAACGAGAGACTGGAGGGGCGCGGTGTTGTCCCTTTCCTTCAGTGTCTGAAATGTGACAGGGATGTTAGGTAGGAAGGGTAAGGCCATGAGCTGCTTCAGGTAGCGGTGGGTAGCTTCCCTCTTCATGAAGTTAGATGGATATGTCTCCATGGCCTGGCACCAATGGAACTTCATCCCTTGGTAACAGCATCATGGAATACCGTAGAATACCATAGAAATGGCATTCCAGGCAACTGAAATACAATTTACAGCATATTAAGTATATATATTACAGCTAATTTTTTGGTTGTTAAATAAGATAATCAAATTGTAAGCCTCTTTATTCAAGATATTTTGTAAGCCTCTTACCAAACTCAACGTCAACTATGAACGTCTCTACAAATGGCCTTGTTGGAAGAGCTTCAAGGACGGCATTGAAAACCTCTACAACAAAATAAAAATTGATGACTAATGAAACAACATAGATACTAAGCTGTTTGATATTATAAGAAAATAAACTTTAAATGGAATATATGAAGTTATACCAGTATTTTAAGATAAAAAGAAAATAAAAACCTACTTGACATAATATGCTTCCTGCCGTGAAGACATCAGTGCAAACGCAGGAGGGAACTGCAGTTCTTTGCCTCTCTCCTAACATAGCAGCTGACCACTGGGCTTCAGGAAGTCTGGTACAATCTGCAATACTAGTATAATAGGAGTATATTCATTGAAATGTTTTAATATAACATTTCTAGCACAGTTTTAGTACTTTTAAGAAAAAGTACTAGTATTTTGGATATTTATATTGTATAATGAATTTAAAATTTCGTTTTATTACCATAAATGCCCCATCCATTCACCATATTTTGGCCGTCTCTAACAGGAGATCATGTTGATGTCTCAGGAAACAGACACGACCTGGCGAAATTCCTCTCCATGGATGTCTTTCACCAAGAATTCATTTGAGGAGATGAATCCAAGATCCGACTATTTATTACTTTTTTTCACATTTTATTCACATGATGTTGTATATTATAGCATTTAAAGTATTCAAAATTTATAATAATATATGAAAATTATCCCTGAGTAGTATTAGCCATTCTTATTCTCAGCGGATGAAAACTTTGCGACCACTACAGATCCATATGACGGAAGACTTGTTCTTCTAATTTGTTGCAAGCAATACAACTTTATCAGATAAAGAAATATAGAGAATGAATAATAATGAATAAATAAATAAAGCTTATGAAATATATAGAATGAAGTGATGAATTTACTAAGATAAGAAATAACTTGTGACACTTGTAGCAAGTAATAAAACTTCATTTTATTTATACCTTGACCCCCCCCCCCCCCCCCATTCCATATCTTCAGACACCATAAGTGAAACCGTCACTGCCCAATAAGGTAATTAGATAATAATTAAAAAAATAAATTTTGGAAATACATGTAAAAAGCGCACGACGGGTCTCTCATCATTACATGTAATTTTAATTGATCTGCTCATCATTACTGATCAATCAACCACCCGATAAGCGGTATATTAAGTAATGGATATGGGCAAACCCACTCAGCGCAAATGGGAATTGGGGCGAACCCCCCACCCCCCTTCCGGGGCCCAATGCCCGATAAGAACTTTACATGATTGATTTTTAACATCTAAAACACTTTTCTCGCAATGTGCCTGTACTCCCGTACCTATAAACAAATATCAATTGGGAAATAACATTTACGTCCACGTTATAAGTCATTTTACTGAGCATCATTACTGAAACAAAATACATGCTATCCAAATTCTTACCTCTTCTTCCATTTTTGATCCCTGCGTCAGTTTTCCCGCGCACATGCGCAGAGCGGTCATGGAACTCCTTCGCCTCGTAAATATTCTCGTCAGTCGAGAAAGACTATGATTTGTAATAATCGCATCACCATTTTTTAAATTAAAGATAAAATTTTTCTGAAAAATTATTTTTCATCTATTTGAAGATATAAGTTTATTAAAAAATTTGTAAGTCCACTCCAAAAAAAAAAAGTCGTATTTAAGCAAGCTTGCATATGTCTTTAAGACCCGTTATTTTACTGCAGTTTTCAGATTCCCTTGTGTTTTGACTTGTAATTGATTTAATTGATCAACACCTGATTTTTAATGGATGTGAACCCCAAATTCCGCTACTAATGAAGTTTAATATATTTAGTATTCGGCTTAAAATTTACGACATGAATTTAATCATTTTCTTAAGTCTAAAATCAAAATTCTTTGAAGATACTTCGTAAGTGTGTGTTTTTCAGTTTATAAATAAAGTTCATATACAGTTCATATACAGTATATTTGTGTTTTATTGCTACCAATGAGTAAAGGACGAGATTGATAATAGATATGGAAACTACATTGTACATGAAGAGAAAGCTCAATCATCCGAGTAACGGGTACTCCATCAGAAGATTAAGCGCAGTACCCTGTTAGAAAAATCATCCGATTATGTATTTTGTCAGTTTTGTTGATTTAAGATTATATATGACTTAGTAAACATTAAGCTAGAAATCATGTTATTGAAGGATGTGGATAGAAATATAGATTACTAAGTATTTTAATTCACAATTTAAAAAAAAAAATATCTGTAAATTCATTTTGCTAAGAGAAATAATCAGAAGAAAAGAATGAAAGGTAGAGGTTTTTAACACTGTAGAGGATGGATCATTTAATTAATTTTTTTTTTTTTTACTCGAATCAAGAAGTTACATTATTTCTATTACGATTTATTGCTCGTGCTGTATATGAATTTAGGAAGAAATAATTGATATTCATAAAATATCCATTAAATAGTTTTTGGAAAGATGTTGAATGCATTAGCTCGCAAGTAACAAACGAAGAAATAAATTAAATTATACATTTGATATCAATATGTACTTTAATATTACTAACATTTGATATCAATATCTACGTCAACATAACTTACATCTGATTTCATTATTTATATCAACATTACTTACATTTGATATCAATATCTACTTTAGCTGATCTAACATATTCCCCCGACTTCACATCATATGCCCCACAGCTATATATTCCTGAGTGTTTTCGATCTTGTTCCATGGATGTCACACCCGCGTTGGAGATGACTTGTCCCTCATGGTAAATTTGATATTTATCACATCGTGGATTACAGTCTGCTCTACATGTGAGGGTGACGTATCCTCTTCCTTCCCACAAATCATCAAGGTCACTTAAGGAATAAATGCTTACATTTCTGGGTCTATCTGAGTAATATTAAACAATTTCTTTGAAACGAATAAAACCTCTAAAAATCAAAGTTCTGGCAAAAAGGATATAATTATGGACATACACGTATAGAAGTTATTATTGATTGCAAATGAATGCACACCAGATTTGTTTTTTTTTTTCCTTTTGAAATAATTTGGATTAAATATGATACTTCAATGCAAAATTGATTAAAGACAAAGTATATCCATATGATACACCAAAAGCAGTTTTATTTAAAAGGTTTAATTTTATGCGAAAAATATCAATTCTATTTCGTTTATCGTTGAAACTATTCACAAACTAATAATTTTGTATTTCTTAAGGTGTATACTTACATTCTTTTTCAGTGGAAGTTGTTTCAGAGTTGTTGCTAGAGAGGTCTATTCCAACGTCAGTGTCATGAGTCCGGGCTCGAGATTCTTTGGCTTTTATATTGAATAAATATTATTTTACTTTATGTGTTTGTTCATTAACAACCAGCTGATATGAATAATTAGTCACTAAAACATAATGAGTATACTTCGTATGGTGTTTTAATATTGTTTATACGTTATTAATGGTCAAACACAAAAATCAGGTTATTTTTCTGATAAAGACCTCAAAAACGACATGAATTTGGTATTGCAGACAAATTTCTACCAAAAAAATATAAATCCTTATTGACAGTCAATATCATATATAATATACTCAGTATTGAAAATAAAATATCTTGAAAAGGGCTCGTAAAAACAAATTACAGCTTACTCCACTTATATTGAACTCGCTTATTTTGAAATTCCGCTTATTTTGAAATAGAAATAAATCCCCAGTTTTTGCCTCTCATATTCTTTGCATTAAAATAACGGTTATATTGAAATCGGATATATTGAAATTTCGCTTATATTGAAGCCACTAATCGGTCCCCACAGGTGATAATGAGTTGTTTTCATAACGGTTATATTGAAGTACTCCCTGGCGGCTGTCGTTACGGTTGGTGACAGTAATTATGCCTGATTGAACAGTTGATATACACAGGTGTGAATAATTAAGTTTTCACCTTATGTGTTTTTATATTGCATGCTCTTACGAAATAAAATTCTTCACTGTTAAATTCTTTGCGTCCATGTACATGTATTTAATACGGACATATTGAGGCTAAACAGCTAAACGTAATATAGTAACCCTACAGATCTAGGAAAAAACATAACTTTGAAATTAAATACGTACTGTTAATGGCTATTGATATGCCTAAATTCGAAATAACTAAGGTTTTAACCCGAGTACACTTACGATGAAATACAAGCAGCGTTCAGCAGTACTCAACCTTTTAAGTCCGATGAATTTTCTCCAAAACGAAAACGATCGGGGAATAATAATGAGGGGTGAAGATTGTCTTTTCAATGAAACAGAAATAAAAAAAAATATTTAAACTTTCAAGGACTAATATTTTTAATATGTTCACTGTTATAGATAAACGATGACAACATGAATTTGTTTGGGTTTGTTCTTCTTTATTTTAGATCGGGATTGAACTTGTAAAAATGGCGGCTTCACAATTTCGCTTATATTGAATTACGGATAAATTGAAATAATTTGCATGGTCCCCTGAATTTCAATATATCCGGAGTAGGCTGTGTACTTACATTTGATATCAATGTCTATGTCAACATTACTTACATTTGATATCAATATCTACGTCAACATTACTTACATTTGATATCAATATTTACATCAACATTACTTACATTTGATATCAATATCTACTTACACATAACTTACATTTTATATCAATATCTACTTCAGCAGATCTGACATATCTCGTCAACTTTACATCGTATGCCCAACATTTGTATTTTCCGGAATTTTTTCGATCTTTTTTAATGGATATTTCGTTTGTGTGGGAGAGATATGGGCCAGTAATTTGATATCTATCACATCGTGGATTACAGTCTGCTCTACATGTGAGGTTGACGTATTCTCTTCCTTCCCACAAATCATCAAGGTCACTTGAGGAATACATTACAGCATTGCTGGGTCCATCTAAGTTTTTTTATGATACAGATCATAGAAAATTTTCTTTAAAAAGGAATAAAATTATCACTTGAAAATGTTCTTTATTTAGCTTAATTAATTTGACAAAAGACATGTAGTTAGTAATTTTTGCTGATCTGATATCAAATATGAATTAGAAATGTCAATATTTAAGAATGTGGATACCCATATAAATTGATGAATTCACAATTTTAAAAAAAATAGAGGCAACTTTTTATGTGAGGGGAAATAATAAGGAAAAGAGAAGACATCCAAAGTAGATGTAAACAATATTTTATTGTGCATTTTTTTTATCAAAGAAAGATACTTTATTCCTACCATGGTGAATTGCTGTGATTCATAAAGGGTTGAAGAAGAAGAAAAAATAATATTCATTGTTTTGTTTTGTTTTGTTTTTTTTTTTTTTTTGGTAGAATATGTTGAATACTAGTACATTATCTCTCAAGTAACTGGCGAAGAAATAAATCAAATTACATTTAATACAATGTCTACTTTAACATTATTTAAAGATGATATCAATATCTACTTCAACTTTACTTACATTTATTAAAATCAATATTTACTTCAACATTAATTACATTTTATATCAACATCTACTTCAGGAGATCTGACATGATGACTTTAATATTTGTTACATTTTACATGAATATCTACTTCAATGTTACTTACATTTGATATCAATATCTACTTCAACATTACTTACAATTGATATAAATATCTACTTCAACGTTACTTACATTTTATATCAATATCTACTTCAACATTACTTACATTTGATATCAATATCTACTTCAACATAACTTACATTTGATATCAATATCTACTTCAACATAACTTACATTTGATATCAATATCTACTTCAACGTTACTTACAATTGATATCAATATCTACTTCAACATAACTTACATTTGATATCAATATCTACTTCAGCAGACCTGACGTATCTCCTCGACTTAATATCATATGCCCCACAACTGTATTTTCCTGAGCTTTTTCGATCTTTTGTGATTGATGTAACGTTTGTGTAGGAGAGGACTCGTCCATCGTGGTAAATTTGATATCTATCACATCGTGGATTACAGTCTGCTCTACATGTGACGGTGACGTATCCTCTTCCTTCCCACAAATCTGTTAGGTCACTTGAGGAATTCAGTTTAACATTGCTGGGTCCATCTAAGTTTCATGTTATAAATCATACAATTTCTTTTGTAAAAGACTAAATATAATCAATTGAAAATTTGGTGCTTCATTTGCTTTTAATGATTTGATAATAGACGTGTAGTAGGTAATTTCTGTTGATTTGGGATTAAATATTACTTTGTCAATGCAAAATTAGTTAATTTTATAAAATCACAATTTTAAAGAAATGGGCAATTTTATTTTTGTGAAGAGAAATAATCAGTAAAAGGAAAAAAAGCAGAGACTGATGTTTTGACAATGTAGAGGGTAGATAAGAATACTAGTATATCTACTTTAACCTTACTCACAATTAGTATCAATATCTACTTCAACATTACTTACTTTTGATATCAATATCTACTTCAACATTACTTACATTTGATATCAATATCTGTTTCAACTTTACTTACAATTGATATGAATATCTACTTCAACATAACTTATATTAGTTATCAATATCTACGTCAACATTACTTACCTTTGATATCAATATCTACGTCAGCATTACTTACATTTGATATCAATATCGGGTTTTAACTTCAACATTACTTACATTTAAGATCAATACCTATATCAACATTACTTTCAATTGATATCAATATTTACATCAACATTACTTACATTTGATATCAATATCTACTTCAGCAGACCTGACGTATCTCCTCGACTTAATATCATATGCCCCACAACTGTATTTTCCTGAGCTTTTTCGATCTTTTGTGATTGATGTAACGTTTGTGTAGGAGAGGACTCGTTCATCATGATAAATTCGATATCTATCACATCGTGGATTACAGTCTGCTCTACATGTGACGGTGACGTCTCCTGTTCCTTCCCACAAATCTGTTAGGTCACTTGAGGAATTCAGTTTAACATTGCTGGGTCCATCTAAGTTTTATGTTACAAATCATACAATTTTTTTTGTAAAAGACTAAATATAATCAATTGAAAATTTGTTGCTTCATTTGCTTTGAAAGATTTAATAATAGACGTGTAGTAGGTCATTTTTGTTGATTTGGGATTAAATATTACTTTGTCAATGCAAAATTAGTTAATTTTATAAATTCACAATTTGAAAAAATGGGTGATTTTATTTTGTGTAGAGAAATAATCAGGAAAAGAGAAAAAAAACATAGGTTAACGTTTTAACAATGTAGAGGGTAGATAAGAATACTAGTATATCTACTTTAACCTTACTAATACCCTGTTCACACGGAGAGTTTAATTCGAATTAAACGTAAAGTTACTGCGAATTAACTTCGCTTAGCGTTCACACGGAGAATTTAATGCGAATTAGTTTAATTCGAATTAGTTTACTGCGCATTAAATTACTTCGCATTAGCTCCATGTGAACGCTAAGCGAAGCTAATTCGAATTAAATTTTGAGGCATGCGTAATGACAAAATTAGGTCAAATGCCACATGTCCGTGGTCAGCTTGAAGTACTTGTGCTATTTTTAAGTGTAAAACTAAGGAAAATTGTGTTAATCGCTAAAATGTGTGTACAAACACAGTAATGTTATGTAAAATGCATTTGCTCCTGCATAAGGTGGCGTGATTTGCAAATGATGTCATAATAGCCTTACTGACGCCTGGCCGTAGTAGAATTTTAATTCGCATTAGTTTACTTCGCATTAGCTGTCGTGTGAACGCAATTTAATTCGCATTAGTTTGATTCTCATTAATTTACTGCGAATTATGCCCTGTTCACACGGAGAGTTTAATTCGAATTAAACGTAAAGTTACTGCGAATTAGCTTCGCTTAGCGTTCACATGGAGAATTTAATGCGAATTAGTTTAATTCGAATTAATTTACTGCACATTAAATTACTTCGCATTAGCTCCGTGTGAACGCTTAGCGAAGCTAATTCGATTTAAATTTTGACGCATGCGTAAGGCCAGAATTAAGTCACAGGACACGTGTTGGTGGTTATATCTAGGTATTTGTGTTATATTTGGTTCAAAAATTGAGGGAAAGTATGTTGATCACTAAAATCAATGAAGACCTGTATAGCCACTACATGATGTATCAAAGGATGGCTCTGCATACATGACGTGATTTACAAATGACGTCATAATAGACTTACTGACGCCTGACTATAGAAGAAAAATTTTAATTCGCATTAGTTTACTTTGCATTAGCTGTCATCTGAACGCAATTTAATTCGCATTAATTTGATTTGCAGAAGTTTACTTCGCATTACTTTATTGCGAATTAAACTCGTCGTGTGAATAGGGCATTAGTATCAATATCTACTTCAACATTACTTACATTTGATATCAATATCTACTTCAACATTACTTACATTTGATATCAATATCTACTTCAACATTACTTACATTTGATATCAATATCTACTTCAACATTTCTTTCAATTAATATCAATATTTACATCAACATTACTTACATTTGATATCAATATCTACATCAACATTACTTACATTTGATATCAATATCTACTTCAGCAGACCTGACGTATCTCCTCGACTTAATATCATATGCCCCACAACTGTATTTTCCTGAGCTTTTTCGATCTTTTGTGATTGATGTAACGTTTGTGTAGGAGAGGACTCGTCCATCGTGGTAAATTTGATATCTATCACATCGTGGATTACAGTCTGCTCTACATGTGACGGTGACGTCTCCTGTTCCTTCCCACAAATCTTCAAGGTCAGTTGAATAAATGTTCATATTTGTTGGTCCATCTGAGTAATAATAAACAATTTATTTGAAAGGAATAAAAACCTCTAAAAAAATCAAAGTTCTGGCAAAAAGGATATAATTATGATTATGGACGTATGGGACTTAATATTATATATTGCAAATGGACGCACAACAGACTTTTCAAATAAATTGGATTAAATATATGATGCTTAAATGCAAAATTGATAAAAGAAAAAGAAGTATATCCATCTTATGCACATAAAACAGTTTAATTTTAAACGCTATGACTTAATTTAACGTTTCAATCGTCAGCGTCCGGCTTACTTACGGAAGAGCATGTTCTACGTATGAACAAATTCTGGAACGAGATTAGTTATTGACAAACAGGTTAAAGAAGCAAGAATATCAGCAGTCTCGATAAAAGTAATCATCTTTTATTTACATTTACTTTGTTTGGCTCTAATAAAATTTTAAAGCATTATAAAATTACAAGTGATAAATACACATAACACACAAGAACGAATCACCAAAGTCTGTCTGGTATATGAATACAGGGACTACGCCGTTAATGTATAAACAAAGCCAAAAATTTATGTCTGTTACGACGCACTTTGAAAAATTACGCACTTTGAAAAATTTTTTCAAAGTGCGTTAAATTTGGGACCAAATCAATTATCAACGCACTTTGAAAAAATAAAATTTCTTTTCAAAGTGCGTTGATATCGACCATATTAACGCACTTTGAAAAAAAATGTATATGGCTTGGTCAATATTCTTGCAAATCTTAGTTCTGATAAATAATTGAACATGTTGGATAACTTTTCGGTGATAAGGTCACTTCAGGATGCGAAAGTGAGCGATTTATATTTTTCCATATTTTGAAAATTCTTTCTCTTTTAATTGTTTTACTGTACTTAATATTTTCCAGTTTGCATGCATTTAATGTAAACTAAAATTTATTGAAAGTTTCAACGTCACACCAGTTATGCAAATATATTTGTGTGTAGCTTAGGCATCGGTACCGGTGGGGGGGGGGGGGGGGTAGTAGTCACACAAATATTTTGCAAAGATATACATAATATGATAGGCATTAAAAATTGGGACTTACCTTGGGGAGTCCACTTTGCCGCCCAAGGCTATAGTATGTATAAGAAAAAATGAGTTGGGTAGAGAGACATTCTATATGCTCATATTCTCATTGTCTTCAATGAGGATAAATAAATGCACATAAACTACAGTAAAGACGTCGCGCACGATGTTGGTGTCAAAAAGTTAAAAATTACTATTGCGGCGGCATTTGCGCTATTTTCATAATTTTAAAACAATTCACTATATGAAAACTATATATCATTCGGTTGGTAATTGTATACTTAATACATTTTAACAAAAATATTGATAAAAAAATTCCATTTGTCAAAGATATTAATTTGAATATTCCGTCAATTACGTGAAAAACGCATGTAGACCGGTAAAAGGGGCGTCGCACACGCAATAAAAAATTGTTGATCATTTCCATAAAACACACAATACAAACATAAAATTTGGCAGAAAAATTCAGAATTTGATGTAAATGATGTAAATTCTTAAAATTTTAATGTCATTCAATCCGTATGCTCTGAACGCGTCGCTTAAAATCCAAGAAAGAGGTGTAGACGCACGTTAATCGACGAAATATGGGATACACCAAAAAAGTCTTCAGTTACTTAGAATAATAATTACATGAGCTAAATCTATTTTTAAATTACATATCAATAATCCTTTTTGTGTGTTAAGAACTATATTTTATAAAAGACTGATATTTTTGGTTGATATGCATGTTGGATTTCTGATATTCAGCCGATTTATTGTGAGGATGTTGAATAAGGTGGTGTGTCACAAAGTTTGGAGTTTCAATGTCACAAAGTTTTTAAGATTCGTAAAATGGCTAATTTTGTAATGCAGGGTGAAAAATTTATGTTGAAAATTATTTCAATTTCTACAAAATGTTGCCATGTTATTAAGGAAAAGATCTCTAGACAAATATTTAACTTGCGGTGTCTTAAAATTTAATAATAATTGCTGTTTCACATATATGTACTACATGTAGCTGTATGTCACAATTGAATTTGACGGCAAAAACGTCACATTTAAATGCTAAACTCCAGCAATAACCTTCATTTTAAGAATCATTTTTCTAATTTGGCACCAAACGACATTAAGGAAGGCCCGCACTTTTACGGATCCGGTTCTAATTTTACACATATAAAATAAAATATAAAAAAATTATGATTTTCACTTTTCTATTGATATAAATCTTTTTGATTGATTGAGAATGATTTAGCAAGTAAATATTTGTTTATTATAGTGTTATTGTGCATATGAAGCATATAATATACATTATTTATGGAAATTAAAACTTTGCATTCTGTCCATAAGACCTATATGTCATTTAGAACTTATCCAGACACAAAATTCTTAATTGCTTTTAAAGACCTAAATCTTTTTAATTTTCTTTTAAGCAAACTAACCTGAGATCTATTTTTATCGATTAAGAGCCTATATCATCCATTTAATTTTTATTATTTAAAAATTTTACATTGAATAATTGAAAAAATTGATATTTCAAAAATGGGGGGTTTACGTCTTCAAAAGACTGTTTTGTTAAAATTCTCTGGTCAATCATAATAAAGTAGATGTTTTTGTTAACATTAGATATAATTCTCAATATAGTTTTAAAGAAAAAATGGCATCTAAACATATTGGATTTTAAGAATTATAAAAAATAAAGATATTTTGAGATTTTTTTCTGAAAGGCATGGACAGATTCAACACCGATTTGTTAATGTTTTGCAGTAAAAATTTCAAATTTTCTCTAGGTAAATGAATATTTTTGATCTTCATAAGTTTTAACATAAATTTGATGTGATTTGGTGCATAACTAAGAGAAATATGATATCACACTTTTTTATGTGCAATTTTGGCTGTTGAGTTTTTAGAGGTATGTGTGCTGAGACATGTTGTATGAAAATCAATCTGCAAAGATATGTCTTTTAAGGGTGTTTTAGTAAGTTTAAGACTTGTTCAAAGTATTCAAATTGAAAAATTATCAGTTTGACAGAAAATTCTGAAAGTACGGACCTACCTTAAATACAAAATGTGCAAAATCAATACTTTATTTAGATATGACACTGAGTTGATTCTATAAAGCAGTGTTTGTTTTACAGGCGTTTTACAAAGTCAACATAAATGTCACACATTGTCCAAAATTTATAAATCTAACTATAATTGTAAAAATGTGGTAAAATAAATCATATGTATATTCATTAGAAAGAGACATATTGAAAATTAGAAGATTTTTATGAAATGTACATCTTTTCAAAAATTTATTAGTATATTCCAAAATAATTTTCAATGGAATGGTGACAAAATCCTAACAAAATATAAATCTCAACATCAATGTCACACACGTAAAAATTTGGCGTTTTATTACGCTATTACGTTCAATGCATAAAACGTATTTATAACCTTAAGCGTCCCAAATAAACTTACTCTTACTGCTGATGAGCCTGATATTGATAAAAGAAAAATGTACTAATAATGATTCATCTTAAAAATAACTTAAGGTTTTGAAAGTTGTATTTATATATATTACAGTTAAACATGTGCATTGTATATTGTAATGGTTTCGAATTTATCTCAGTTATATAAAAAGCACATCGATTTAAAATGCGATGTTAAACAAATTTTGTCATTTCTACACAGCTTTTATTAAATGAGACAAATCATGCTTCATATTTTCCACCCGCAACATGCATGCAAAAGGGCAGAGAGAGAGAGAGAGAGAGAGAGAGTTTAGACCTAAAATATCTGCATCAAAGTACGGCTACGTATAATATATATTTCCCTTTTGGATTTTTCTGAAACTAAGAGCCCTTTTCTCGCAGATTGAAACAGACACATTTTTTAGATAGACTATATGAGGAGAAACATTAGTAAAATACAGTTGATACTTTGTAAGACAGTCCATGATGATACCCGACCGGAAGAGAATTTCATTTTAATCCCGGGATCAATTAAGATTTAATCACAAACTCATAAATATCAAATAAAGCAAAGTTTATAAAAACTATTTTTTTCTTTACTCGAGACCCATTCAACAAATATTGAATAAATAACAGAATAATTTATTTGCTGTATTATATATCTATACACTGAACTACTTATGTAATTGGCGGAATTACTGGGTTTTTATTTTTTTCTTCGTAGAAAAATGTTTGCGAAAAAAGCAACGTCAAATTAATATTCTATAACCTCACGTAAAATAACGTCATTTTGACGTTACCGAAACTGACACCAACACCTTGCGCAACGTCGTAACGTTTTTGAACGATATAATTATTACAAATTGATTCTCTCAATTGCCAAAATCTAAGTCTAGAATTTTTGTTTTGCACATATTTTTAAAAAAGTGCGTTGAATGTCCACATGGTAAAAAATGTTGATGCACACTCTTAAGCACTTTTTTTTCAAAGTGCGTTGATTTTGTCCCAATTTTAACGCACTTTGAAAAAAATTTTCAAAGTGCGTAATTTTTTCAAAGTGCGTTGCCACATACGATTCATTTGTATTTCTTTGTTGCAAAAATATAGTTTATCATTTTAGTTTGACAAAATAAATAAAACTTTATCATTGTGCACTATTTTCGTTTCCGGATCAATGAAGCTGTTCCAAAGACTATTCTGTTAATTGCAACTTACATGAAGGATAAGGCGGGAATTCAAAATAGAAAAATCAAAATTGCGGAAAACATAGGGGATAACAAATGTAACTATAAGCATTGAATTATCATTTTTTGGATGATGCAGTCTCATAACTGCAATGTTGCCAGTGAGAGGAATACAACAGTAAGTTGACCAGCTCAGAAAACCAAATTGCGGAATTGTTTTCTTTCATTTTTCGTGTGAATGTAATGATTATAATAGTCTACTGTATAAATGGAGGTTTTTGTGGTTGTAAGGTGGCGATTTAAGAGATGGCAGGACGAATAACCCGCTCGTAACATGGCTCTGTTTCGCGTTAATGTCACCAACACGGTTGATTGAAAACCATTCCCAGGCCCTCTCTGACAACGAGTAACAAGTTTTTTGGGGGAAAATTTACAAGAAACTGCTTAGTTAACAGTTGTTTCCTTTTTTTCATTAATTAGGCAATTCGAAAACAGGAACTTGAACTTCCATAAACTGTTCCAAGATTGCAAGAAGTTCATATTGTCTCTAAATATTGAAAAACGATGTGCATACCTCATGTGCATCAAATAATGCAAACAGATTTGTGGAAAAACTTGCCGTCATCAAAGTGCACGTGTTTTGGGGCTTTTTAGCTTTTTCCCTACCTGACGTCATACATTTTACGGTTGAGTAATTCTGAACACTCATTTTAGTGCATAGTAACAACATTTCTCTTCTGACCAATTTTCTTAATTTTCGGTCATGCGGTCAAATTTTTTTCGAATATTATGCTACCCTGCGCTTCTTTTTCCTTTCAGTATAGCAATTCTCCCGCACAGTTAATCTTCCCATCTAAGATTAGTATTACTGTATCAAAAGGTTTCATTTCTATTAATTTTATTGACATTACTTTATAATAACTGATTATTGTTTAATAATTCTTCGGAGTTTCATCTCCTTGAGTTCCTTATCAAAGATACGTTTAAGTCCTTTAGATTAATCCATTATTAAATGTTTTTTACGCCATTTCTTAAAGGTACAGTCAAACTTATCTTAGCGGCCACCCGAAATCAACGGCCACTTGCGGTCAGCGGCCACTTTCAATTCCCCCCGACGATTTTTCCTATATATTTTAACTGGAATAAACGGCCACCTGTGTAACGCGGCCAGCGGCCACTCAAATCCTCCCCCAACAGCCTTATTGACACTGTAATAGGCGGCCGTTTCGTCACTTGTTGCGATTCTATTACGTCTTTTAAACTCATTCGCTTGGGTAATTATATCCCGATAGCCAATTTAACCCAGCTATTAATGCAATTAAACAAATTAATATTGGATACACTGAACTCTGTGTTTATGAAAAAAAAAACCTGTTAGATGAATTTGTAATTATTTTTCAAGATCGCCGATTGAAAAATGAACAGAATTTAAATACAATTGATACTTTCCTCTACCTAAAGAAATTCACACCTTTTAGATTTTGATTCCATGTAGAAACCCTAATTGCTACTCTTGTGAAAACAAAGTGCTTCATGTGGCATGATTATCTCGTGAATTTCACTATCAACAGACGATCGATAGGGATTATTCACGCTCCACTGCATATGACACCTGTGTTATGGAATGATTTTCAACTGCGTCAATACATCTCTCTGGTCAAGTGGTTTATTTTCTTTGTGTGTTTGTGTATGTTACATAGGGATTCTGATAGCTTTATAAACAATGAAATCTACCATGAATGAATGAATTCAGCAAGTAAGTTAATTGCGGATGAATTATTTTTTTTTTTTGGGGGGGGGGGTACACTGCTGACCATTTTTGAACATATGCAAGTGGAATTTTTATTGACATATTCTTATTTAAATTTCTATGATTTATTTTATTTACCACTGAAATGTATTTTTGTGTAATTTTTTTTCCTTTATAAAAAAGGATAATAACCAGGCACTGTATGTATTTCTTATTTAACTAATATATAGGAACAGAATCATGCACAAAAACGTTTTTAAAAAATTCTAATTCTTTAATATTTTTTTATTGAGCTTGAATTATTATATATACACAAAAAAGCCTTTGTTAAATTGACCTGTTTTATTATTTGATTAATTTAACTATAGTGCTTAATGTTGGTTATTCATTGCCCGGATGTCTTTTTGAGGGCAAACTGGAATAAGAGGCCACCTGTCTTAAATGGCCAGTTTCCAGACTTCCCAAAGGTGGCCTCTTAAAACAAGTTTGACAGTACTTAGACACAGATTTGAAGTTAATTTTTTCTCTATAATATTACGAATTATATATTTTAATAGCATTTCTCACAAAAATTAATTAAAAATCTTATTTCATTTAAAAGTTATTAAAACTTCAATTTTTTTGGCGGGTTTGATTGATACATCCTTGCACTTTCACAAATTTTAATTTTACTCCTAATACTTAGGAAAAGTGGCAATCTTGTTGTGTATGAATGAAAAATATTAATAGTATAATCCAGATAATTCAGAGTAGACATGTTCGAAAGCAAAACAAACACACAATATATCTTCAGTCCGTGCAGTTATGGTGAGCAGACTTTGACAATTGGACGCACCCGGTGAAATCTAAACATCAACAAAAACAGAGCTCGAGCCTTGTTTACAAAAACTGTGTACATAACACGAGTGTGATCGATTTGCACACACGACTTAGCTCGGAATGACGATACTTGTGAAGGTGTTTTGCTTTCTAACATTTCTACTCTGAATAAAATTATTTTTCTGAATTAAAGTTTTTAATATTTCTCATTAATACACAACAAGATTGCCACTTTTTTGACGGATTAAGAATAAAGTTAAAATATGTGAAAGTGCGAGGATATGTCAATCAAACCCGCCATTAAGATATATAATTCGTGATATTATACAGAAAATATTAACTTCAAATCTGTGTCCAAGTACCTTTAACCTCGATGCATTTTTTTTTTCAACCGGGGTACCGGTATACTGTATAGCCATCCCTTTTGTTACAATTACTTTTTTAAAATTGAAACTCTCAGTCTTAATTGTTTCCTATCTATGAATGTTCAATAATTTGTTGTCGTCGTTGGATTATTTGACACGCCAAACCTAATTTTTAAGCATTTACCTAAATAGGCTTCTTGTATGCAATAATTTTCTGATGGTTAAATAAAACATTCACACAACTATATTGAAATGTAAACTGCATTTGGATATTATAGAAACTAATGCTGATTTTTGTAGTAGATATACGTGATTTTTTTAAAAAAGAAAAATGCATGTATATTATAGCTTTTATTGGGGCTTTTTTTGAATCCATCAGTAAGTCAAAATTAAAGCAAGTCTGCTACTCACCTTGTCCAAGAGACACTAACTGGAGACAAAACAATGAAAGTATCGACCAGATAAGCCATAATGTCTCCATGTTTATATTGCTTTGGTGTTGATGTGCATAGAACAAGGAAGCAAGCATTTCTTTTATATGCGACAATTTTAGTATGTGACCCTTGATTTTACTTCTATTTGGGTTATCATTGAACAACAAGGATCATTTTTCAATGAGACGGGAGTCAAGTAGGAAGTAAGTTTTTAACATCAATCTGTGAATTAATCAAACGGTATCCTACTTATCATCTTCGCTAGCCAAGTGTCTCTGATCCACTACTCCTCGCACAACTCAAGGGATGGTGAGTAGAGGATCGGAGAACCGTGCAGTTTGGCTGGTGGAGAAAATCATTTCGTTTTCATTTTTATTTCCCAGTCCTGTATATTTACCTACATTTAAATTAACAATTTTTATCGAATTTTACAAAAAATATGATAATTTTATCTGCATGCACATTTTCTTTTATAAATTTATTGTTTAATTTTTCCCCTGTGATTTATATTGTCCACCGCCTTCGCCAACGCAGACATTAAACATCTCGTTCGTCTGTCAGTCTGTCAGAAAAAAAATAACCTGCTTCATACTTTTGAATGAATAAAGATAGGTTTTAATATTCTATACGTAGATAACATGTAACAAGACCTTTCCCATTACACTATGATTTTGACACCATGGCCTTGAAGTTTAACCTAATCTTAGAAAACAATGACATTAAGTAAGTGAAGTAAGTTTACTAAGTAAGTAAGTCTCCCCCCCCCTTTTTTTTTTCTTTCTTTTTTTTTTTTTTTTTTTTTTTTGCAAAAAGAGACATAATATAAAGGCATTAAACATGTAAAAGATGTGGTCGTATGTTTAGCCCCCTTTTTTCAACGAGCACGTTGTAGTTTTGTCAAAGAATGACTAAGAAAACAATAAAGTAAGTAAGTAAGTTTCCCCCCCCCCCATATTTTCTTTTTTTTTTTTTTTTCTTTTTTCTTTGCAAAAAGAGACATAATATGAAGGCATTAAACATGTAAAAGATGTGGGAGTAGGTTTAGCCCCCTTTTTGAACGGGCATTGCAGGCCTATTTTTGTCAAAGAAGCTAGGACGTGTATGTTTTTTTTTTGGGGAGGGGGGGGGGTCCTAAAAGAAGTTCGAGTCTGCACCCAAAATTTGCAGTCCTCCACCAGCAAGAAGTGGCAGGTCTCTTTTTTTTTGCACGTTAAGAAATTGTTGGTAGTTGATACTACTCCCAACTGCCCCCCCCCCCCAAGCTGGAATTGCTTTCTACGGGCCTGAAACAGAAGAACAAACAAATTAAAACTTATCCACCCAGTGCAGTTTAAGGATTCCTTTTAAGTGTTATTAGAAGCACTGTAAAAGCAGAGACCTATATACTAATATATAGGTCCCTGGTAAAAGAAAGGAGAGTTATATTTGCAAGTAAATTATCTGAATTATAATTGATAAAGACTAGGCATAGAGGTTGAAGAAAGATCAATGACCCGAATATGTTAAAGGGCGAGTTGACATGCTAACCCCTCAAATCACATGACGCTACTTTCACTTTCAAGATGAAGGTTGGCAGTCAAGGGAGTTTGGCAATATTTTTTTGTTTTGCAAGCTTTATTCTAGGAACAAATTGTCAGAAGTATCAACCAACATGGGAGAGCATCGATTCTCGACCCATACCAGCATGGTACGATGATGCGAAAGTCGGAATGTTCATCAACTGGGGTGTGTACTCGGTGCCGTCGATGCATAGCGAGTGGTTCTGGTGGTTCTGGAAAGGGGGACCCACGGCCGATGTGGTGAACTTTATGAAGAAGTTTTATCCGCCAAACTTCACATATGCAGATTTTGCCAAGCAGTTTCGCGCAGAATTTTATGATCCAAATAAATGGAAAGAAATCATTCAAGCCTCAGGTGTGAAGTAAGTATCTTTGTGTAACTAATTCTTACACATTTATTATTCTCCTTAGAGAAACGGACTGGCTTAAGACTAATTCCATTTCTTTTCACAAGCCTTCATGTCGTTATTCTTGAAAACGTGTAAAATATAGAATCTGAAACGGTGACAGCCTACACTTCAACTAATACTTTGCCTAAAATAAGTCTGATTATACGTAACAGACATGTTTTATTAACTTTTTAACATAAATAAACTCAGATGACACAAGAAAACCAACCTTTACAGATCTTTTATCCATATTTACAAGTTCTCATTTCCGGATTCAATCTAATACTTTTATCTTGTTTATACCAAATCCTCGGCAGATGCCGCTACGCTGCATTCAGTGTGTGAGGCACGAGCCACCCGAGGACCTTTATGAGTGTTGTTTTAGAGTTATTTGCTCAAAATTTAAATCCAGGATGGAGAATTTTAGAAAATGGATAAAAAATGTGTATATGTTGTTTTTCTTGTGACAGTTGTATGTATTTATGGTGAAATTGGTAATTATACCCCAAGCAACAAGTTGCGTGAGGTAAAATGTTTTTGACCCATCCGTCAGTCTGTCAGTCAATCCATCAGTCCGTCAGTCCTGTTTTTTTGTCAGTACGACTCCTCATAAACCGCTGCACAGAATTTTATCAAACTTTGCAGTTATGTAGGACACAATGTATAGATGTGCATATTACCAGGAAATTCCGATTCCTTTATTTTTTCTGGTAATTTCCACACTTTTTAACTTAGATTTTTATACCCCTCGCAAAAAGTTGAGTGAGGTATGATGTTTTTGACCCGTCAGTCAGTCAGTCAGAGTGTCAGTCATTAAGTCCGTCAGTCCTGTTTTTTTTTTTTGTCATAAACTCCTCATAAACCGCTGCACAGAAAATTGTCAAACTTCGTAGATATTTAAGACACAATGTGTAATGTGCATATTACCAGGAAATTCTGATTCCTTTATTTTTTCTGGTAATTTCCACACTTTTAACTTAGATTTTTGTCCATACCTTGAATATAGAGATGAACAGTTTGGCATCACATTTCCTTATAAACCACTGCACAGAATTTCCTCAAACTTTGCAGATGTTTAGGACACAATGTGTAGATGTGCATATTACCGGGAAATTCTGATTCCTTTATTTTTTCTTGGAATTTCCGCACTTTTCAACTTAGATTTCTGGCCAAACCTTGAATAAAGAGATGAACAGTTTGTCAGCACAACTCCTCTTAAACCGCTGCACAGAATTTCATCAAACTTTGCAGATATATAGGATATATATTGTCAAACTTTGCAGATATTTTCGTAGATTTTTGGCCATACAGTGTACCTTTAATATAGAGATGAACAGTTTATCATTGAAACTCCTTATATTGCTGCACAGAATTTCGTCAAACTTCGCAGATATTTAGGATACAATGTGTAGATGTGCATATTACCAGGAAATTCCGAATCCTTTATTTTTCTTGAAATTTCCACACTTTTCAACTTAGATTTCTGGCCATACCTTGAATAAAGAGATTATTAGTTTGTCAGCACAACTCCTCTTAAACCGCTGCACAGAATCTCATCAAACTTTGCAGATATATAGGACACAGTGTGTAGATGTGCATATTACCAGGAAATTCTGATTCCTTTATTTTTTCTTGGAATTTCTGCACTTTTCAACTTACATTTTTGGCCATACCTTGAATATAAAGATAAACAAATTGTCAGCACAACTTCTCTTAAACCACTGCACAGAATTTCGCCAAACTTTGCAGATATTTAGGACACAATGTGTAGATGTGCATATTACCAGGAAATTCCGAATCCTTTATTTTTTCTTGGAATTTCGGCACTTTTCAACTTAGATTTTAGAGATATCTTGACGATAGAGATGAACAGTTTGTCAGCGCAACTCTTCATAAACCACTGCACAGAATTTCATCAAACTTTGCAGATATGTAGGACACAATGTGTAGATGTTCATATTACCGGGAAATTCCAATTCCTTTATTTTTTCTGGGTTTTTCAGCACTTTGAGTTTTGGGGGAGCTTGGGGTATGTGAGATTGCTCACCTTTTCTTTCATTTAACACAACTTTTTTATAAAATCAAACATATTTCAGACAAAATGTAAATTGAAGTGTAGGCCTTCACCATATCTACATTTTACACGTTTTCCAGTATAACAACAACATGAAGGCTTGCAAAGATGAGTGGATGTAGACGAAAGCCTGTCAACTTCTCTAAAGAGAATAACACAAAATATGTAATACAAAAATTCTTTTGAAAGAGAACAATTATATTTTTATCCATAGATATGTTGTGTTGACATCCAAACACTGTGATGGGTTTAACATGTACCCAACCAATGTTACTTATCAGTGGAATGCCAGAGATGTCGGTCCCAAGAGAGATCTAGTGGGTAAGTAGAACTACAATGTGATTATTTTATGTCAAGTAGATTACTTTTTCCTCCATAGTGGTTGGATATTTTAAGTTTTTGTATTTCAAAGTATATTTATATAGCATGTATAGTCAATCAGATTTCAGATTAATTTGATAATTATGGTCAATAAGCCAGCAGTTCAGATTTGGACAACATACTGAATTGGTTAATGTGGTATGAAAAAAAATATCTTTAATCCCTGTTTTATAGGTCCTTTAAAAGAAGCACTGAAGGGGACAGATGTGAGATTTGGTATCTACCATGACATGATTGAATGGTTTAACCCACTATGGCTGGAAGATGTCAAGAATAACTATACAACAAATAGATTTGTTAAAGTGAGCTGATATCACTTGTTGATCATTATGCATCGACTTTCCTTATTATAAATATTTTGATTAAAATTTTAATTCGTTTTTTTTTAAGTTTAAATATGATCAAAAAACTTAACAATCTGAAACAAGTGGGATGTCCAAATACAGTGAAAACTGAAGTATCAGGTAATAACAATCTGAAGTTGATTGAGTCTCTTATTATCTGTAATACAGTACATTGACTCTTTGTGGCAAATTCAAGTTGTTCAAAATAATGAGATTTGACATACCAAAGTGAAACTATGTATGAATGTATTACTCCACAGTAAATGGACTTTGTAGGCTCAGTACACTCAGCCTGTTTATCTGTCATGTATTTACACATTCCAGAAATAGACACTGCATCTTTAATATGCATCTCTTTACAATTTGTTCCTAGACCTTTACCTTCTATAGATGTTTTACCTTTGAACAGGATTATATGCTACCTTTGATGTACGAGGTTGTCAATGCCTATGAGCCGGACGTCTTCTGGAGTGATGGTGCCTGGTTAGCTCCATCATGGCATGCTCCCAGCTGGTACTGGAATGCTACGGTGTTCTTGGCCTGGCTGTACAATAACAGGTATTTTATTATGATCAATTGAAATCAGTACAGATGGAAAATAAAAGATATTTAGATATTATTATAAAATGTGATAACTTCTTCAGAAGTTGCCACTAAACAGTTACTTGTGTGGTTCATTGCTTGATTCCCTGTAAATCAGTGGTAATCACTTTACTCTGCAGTCCCGTTAAAGATGAAGTGGTCACTAATGACAGGTGGGGGGTGGACTGTGACTGTAAACACGGGGGAGTCTGGACATGCTCCGACAGGTTCCATCCAGGTAAAAAAAAATATTATCATTAAAGAAATCACTTATTAGAGATCTATACAAAACATTTAACAATCTTAGACTGAAAAAAAAAAATCAAAAAGGATTTGTGTGACATATCAATTTCAGACATTTCATTGATATTTTTTATGTTTTTTTATGGGTGATATTTATATAATTGTGTACAATGCTCCTGGTTTGTGTGTTCAGGTCATGTTCTGCCACATAAATGGGTAAATGCCATGACATTAGATAAACTCTCATGGGGATACAGAAGGGATGCTGACCTAGGCCAGTATTATACTATAGAGGAACTTCTGGAGGAAATGATATATACTGTCAGGTGAGTTGTCCTCCAATAAAGACTATACTATCGAGAAACCCCTAGAGGAAATGATATATACTGTCAGGTGAGTATTCCTCCATTAAAGACTATACTATAGAATAGCTCAGGGAGGAAATGATATACAGTGTCAGGTGAGTACATTTGTAGTCCTTCAATAAAGACTTTAATAGAGGAAATCCAGGAAGAAATAATATACATGTACACTGTAAGGTAAGTAGACTCCACGAGAGATTTTTTAAAAATTTAATATATTTACAAAAGAAAGTTGATTGCAATAACGACCATTATTGATAGCCTATAATCAAAAGGATAATTCTTATATTATCATCATTATGATTTTGTTTTGTAAAGTAAAAAACTAGCTCTGATATAAATTCTGTTACAGTTTTGGAGGAAACATACTTATTAATGCTGCACCAACAGCATGGGGAACTTTTGACCCAATATATGAGGAAAGATTCCAACAGCTTGGTTCATGGCTCAAGGTCAATGGAGAAGCTAT